CTGAACATGTGCACTTTGCAGCGATGCGATTTGTAAAGGAAAAAAAAGTCACCCCCAAAAAATCAGAAGTTTTTCTGAAGGTGTACTGAAAGGTTTAGATGAAAATCAGTTCAGTTCTCGGAATCTCTTAATCATTTCACTGCTGTGAGAGTACGTTGCAGCAACACTGTTGACTTTATTTCTAATCAATTACATTCTATAAAGCACTTTGAGACATTTATTTTTAAGCGAAACGCGCTTATTTAAATGCAATTTAAGATGACTGCACGATATTCATTTGATCTCTATAAAACTGGCCTTTTGAGGCATTTATTTTACGGTGAGAAATACTGCATACATTTTGCTCCGCTATTGCAACCGCGCTTTCAGCCACTGCGCCCCAAAGCTTTCGAGCTCTCTCTACCAATCCCTCTGCCTTGCCCCCCTCCTTCCCCTCTTTTAAATCACAACTGAAGACCATCCTCTTCGACCGTGCTTACACTCACCTCCTCTGGCTCGGCGTCAGTGAAAAGCGCCATATGAATGCAAGATATTGTTATTAAATTTAAGAAGCTGTTGTATTGGCAGAAGGTCGGGAGGAGATTTCTAAGCCCATCGATCCAGTGCGATTAACGGTGATTCAGTGTGATTAACAGAAGAGGTGAAATAGAAAGAAAATAACTTAATAAACGACACTCACCTGGCCCAGCAATCTCAAGCTTTTCAATTACTTCATTTTGGGGAATGCTATTGACAATATTCTGAGCAATTTCCCTGGGATTTACCTTCTGTCCCTTGGATTTTAACAGCTGCACAAACATAATCAGCACACAGAGAACGTGGATTACTTTACGTCCAAACACATCAGTTGTGGCCTAAATACAACAACAACAACTTGGATTTATATAGCGCCCTCCACGCCGCACGCTGTCTCAAGAGGGCTTTATAGTAACGGACCTCGGGACCGAGCCAGGGGGAGTGGGAGGGGGGAGGAAGTTGGCGCGGTCGAAAAGGTCTTCAGCAGAGAACTGAAAATGGGAAGGGAGGGAGCGAGACGAAGGGAGTCAGGAGGGCAGTTCCAGAGCCTCGGGGCATAGTGGCTGAAGGCACGGCTGCCGAGGGTGGAGCGGAAGACTTGGGGGACAAGGAGGAGGCCAGACCCGGAGGAACGAAGGCAACGGGTACTGTTTTGAGGAAAGAGGAAGTCATAGAGGTAGGGGATGCAGAGGAGTGCAGGGAGTAAGCAGCAAAGCTTGAATGTTCCTCCGCCCCTGGGATTTGCCAACACAAGCGATCCCACAATTTGTGACAAGTAAATTCCTCGCTCAGCGATCAGTATTTTACTTCATCAGTTTATGATCCATTTACTTAGCAATCCGCTTTCCAATATATTCTCTGAAGCACTTTGAGACGTCACAATGAAGTGATATGATGCTATATTAAATGCAAAGACTATTATTAGCATTATTATTAAGCTTTCGAAAGTTTGTGAGCAATGTCTTGAGCCTGCTTACTCCCCTGCTTGATAATAACTCCCTCCCGCGTCCAGGTTAGTCTTCACGAATGAACTCAGATGTAGACTGAAGCACTGAACAACAAAGTGATAAGGCGCTATATCAAATGCAAGGATTATTATTCTTTTTATTCTAAAGAGCGATCAACTGATTCTCGCGTAATGTCCTTGTAAGTTTCAATAAGTTCTGTGGTTACGAAAGACATAAGACCATCACATCTAAGTGACTGCTCAATGTATAGCAATTCTCTCCACGAAACCCTACTCTATAATTATCCTCTTTACCTGTGCTATTGCCATGGCACTATTGCACTGGTAATCCCCGAATTTTGGCTGCTGGTTTGGTGCGACGACAAGTGGCGGATTCTCCAGATCTGGAAAGGCAACGTTGATGGCGACACTGAAAATAGTTTGCAGCGTCTCATTGATGTTCGTCAAGCAGGCTCCTGGGTTCATCTTCTCTTCCTGCAGGCTCTAAAACAAACGAATGCTGCATTAATAAAATGCAAAGGCCTGAAATTTGGCAGGCATCGGATGATGCCACGGCGGTCAGATACTACAGGAAAGTAAACCGACTTTACTGAGACACTGCAATAGCAGCTTTGAGACACCAGAGAGAACGTCTGGTCTAAAGATCTCTGAGGACCTCCAGTGGCAGACATTTGACATAGTCACGTTATATCGTCGGGCGCGTAGAGGAGTATTTTGTTCACCACCGACTTTGCTGTCTTGGGATTCATGGGATCCGCTAACACTCTACTGCCTTCCAAACGCACAGTCACTACACTTTACAGTGTATTCTGTGAAGCATTTTGAGACGTCCTCCTTGAGTGAAAGGCTCTGTAACAAATGCAAGCCTTATTATTATTTTTGTTTGAGGACGTCAAACATACCAGTCCGTGGGATAGTAATTTGTCCCTTTATAACATAAATTCTCCCTCTCCCCACCTCAACAAAATGTTTCAACCATTGCCCGAGATGGACCAACCTTTTGGCTGCTGAGAGCCGGGTGCCCTGTTTGAGACATGTCCGTGGGCCGCATAAGCGGTATTTTTGTGTTTCCCTTCAAGAAACGTACCGTAACATTTACAGGTGGGTAACGGAAGAAGTAGATGGGCCAAAGGAAAATGGAAGGGAGGGGTGGGGAAGGGATGAAATCGACTACACTGCCCTAGAATAACAGTTTCAATTTCCTCCCGCCGTTCGCAACATCTCTGAACTCATCACGTGGAGTCCTGCAGCTCAGTGGTTAGAGCACTCGCTTTGCAAGTGAGAGACCTGAGTTCAATTCCAGGCAGAGGGCGAAACCTTGGGCAAGTTTCCTTACTCCACACAGAGCCTAATAATAATCCCTCCAAAACCAAAAACAATAATAAATTGGTCATTTTCAATCTACGACTGTTTGTGGGACATTGCTGTGCGCAATTGGCTGCTGCGTTCGCCCTTGCTGTCTGTTTTGTCACTTCACACAGGTTTTATCAACGTGCATCTCAAAAAGGACTTTGTCTCCAAGCTGCTGACATCCCTACTCAAGCACGGAGTTCAGCCTCCCTCAATAGGGCCAAAGAAGAAGGTGAGAACCAGAAGGGTGGATGAACGTTAATTGGCATTAAAGATCTCCTGTAGCTTAGTGGTTAGAGCGCTCGCCTTGCAAGCGAGAGGACTTGGGTTTGACTCCTGGCAGGGCGAAACACGCCGCTGTTGTTGTTGTCAGGGCAATGGTTGGGGCGTTTCATTTGGCCTCAAAGCCTCAGTCCTGTCGCTCTTTGCCAGGAGGTCCTTGACAGCAGTTGGGGAAATCACTGAGACTTCTTGGAGTTTGGCCTGACCTCTGTCTCTGTTGAGTAGAATGTAACTATCACACGGCGCTGCTCGTGCTAATGAGGCCGAGATCAGGAGTTCCCGGTGACTGGGACCCTTCTTCCTGCTATTGGGTGCCACCCAGCACTGCTTCCGCCCAGCCTGTGCAATCGACCGGTCCATGGTAATCACAGCTCAGTAATAAATCTATGTTCCGCTCGTATTTGTCTCAAAGGCTTCACTTCCTCATGTGCTTCGTGTGCAGGTGGTGGTAGATTTCTCCTCTCCTAACATTGCCAAAGAGATGCACGTGGGTCACCTGCGGTCAACCATCATCGGCGACAGCATGTGTCGTCTCTTCGAATTCGTGGGTCACGACGTTTTGAGGTCAGTTTTGGGTGACGAGATCCTCACGCGGCACAATCCATTCATCATTTTCTCATTGTCATTTGCTACGTGGGTTGTTAAGAAGTTTTTAAAGTCCCCGCCACAGTTGTAATAAGTACCGAACCATTTCCATCATCGGTCGAGCGGCTTCACAAGTGAGGTGGTGTTGACAGATCTCTGCTAAGTCTGTTGGCTGTGATTTCAGGTTGAACCACGTTGGTGACTGGGGCACACAGTTTGGGATGTTGATCGCTCACCTGCAGGACCAGTTTCCGAACTATCAGATAATATCGCCTCCTATCGGAGATCTCCAAGCCTTCTACAAAGTAAGTGTGCACAGCTCACCCCTGTGTCTTCTTCTGGCTAGCCTATCTTATAGGGCCAAAAGTAAAGATTATTATCGATATAATTGTGGGACAATTATTGCAAGACAACTGGACTATCGAGTCCTGTAGCTCAGTGGTTAGAGCACTTGTCTCGCAAGCGAGAGACCTGGGTTCAATTCCCAGCAGGGCGAGACCCTGTGCAAGTTTCCTTACTCTACACACTTCTGTTTACCTAGCAGTAAGTAGGAACCCAGTTGTTAGTCGATTGGTGGATTGCTCTTCGCGGGGGTAATAATTCCTTCAAAAAAAGATAATAATAATAAATTGGTCACTCAATCCACGACTGTTTGTGGGGACGCTGCTGTGCGCAATTGGCTGCCGCGTTTCGCCCACAAAATATACAGTCGATTCACTTTATAGTGTATCCTGTGAAGCGCTGTGAGACATCTCAATGACTTGATAAGGCGCCGTATCAAATGCAAGGATTATTATTATTATAATAATCTATTATTGGGACCTGTGTTGCTTCTGAATGTTACTTTTCGAAAAAAAATTGTAAAAAAAAACGAAAGTTGTAAAAGTGTTTTTGCTTTTGTTCGCAAATCAAATTGTTCAGGAATCCAAAAAGAGGTTTGACGAGGAAGAAGCATTTAAGAAACGTGCGTATCAGTGCGTGGTACAACTGCAGGCCCATGACCCGAACATCATTAAAGCCTGGAATCTGATCTGCAATGTTTCCCGGAAAGGTGAGCCGCAGTCAGGAGGATTCATTTCACTTCCAATTCGTTTAATTCATCTACAACCAGTTCAGGCCCTGAGTTAGCCATGGACGACATTTGGTCTCAGCATGCTTCCAAAAAACAATTGGTTCTCTCAATCCACGACTGTTTGTGGGGACGGGACGCTGCTGTGCGCAGTTGGCTGCTGCGTTTCGCCCACAAAATGCACAGTCAATTCACTTCACAGCTTATTCTGTGAAGCGCTTTTGAGACGTCTCAACGATGCGATGAGGCTCTGTAACAAAAATGCAAGGATTATTATTATTATTATTATTATTATTCAGCAGAAAACCAGAACTGTGCGTTGAGTTTTACCCCCTGTTGTGCTTGAACGTGTTTTTCAGAAAATAGTCTTGAAGTTGTGATAAGTCACTATATCAAATGCAAGGATTATTATGATTATTTTTATTATTATTAAAATGTCCTCTTCCCTCCTGTGCAGAATTTCAGAAGATCTACGACTGTTTGGATATAACGCTGATCGAGAGGGGTGAATCCTACTATCAATCCATGATGAAGGAAGTGGTGAAATTGTTTGAGGAAAACGGTAAATGGAAAAAAAACCCTGCAGTTTTAACACATTTTATTTCTAGGATACTACTGCATGCAAGTCGTCCAACTATTGTACCTTTGTTGCTTACAGCGGGACAATTCTGTGCGCAATTGTCTGCTGCCTTTCACCCACAAAATACACAGTCACTACACTCAAGAGTGTACGCTGCGAAGCCCTTTGAGACGCCTCGTGACAAGGCTCTAAATCAAATGCAAGGATTGCTATTACTATTATTACTAAACCTTTAGATTGCTGGCAGGGCTGTAAAACCTCCATCCTCCCCGGGCCGACTAGTTTGGTCCATTTTCAGCTCGTTCATTGTTACCAGAAAAAGCGAAGCACTCACTGTAGGAATTGTGTACTTATTTACCCATCATCATCATCATCATCACTGCAATATTTGCCTTGAAGCACCGAATGTTAAAATCATTTTAATATGGTCAATTTACTATCGAAAAAGAAGGGAGTTTGTTTCTCCCAGTGTCCCTATGTTTACACCACTTTCTGGGAACTGTGCTAATGCACTGCGCTCACTTATTCCGACAGGCATAGTTGAGCTCGATGAAGGTCGGAAGATTGTTTTCCCACCTGGGTGTTCGCTGCCTCTGACCATTGAGAAGTCTGACGGAGGCTACACGTACGACACCTCAGACTTGGCAGCCCTTCGACAGAGGATTTTTGACGAGAAGGCAGATATCATCATTTATGTCGTGGACAATGGACAGGTGAGAAGCAGCAGTGTTTAAAATCACCCCCACCCTCTCCACGCAAACACAAACGCACACACGCACGCGCACACACACACGCACACACACGCGCACACGCTTGCCTAACCACACTTTTGAATGCTTTGAGAACGGAACTCACGTGTTGTTGGCTTGCTGCGGTGGCTAGGAATTTGTTTCAAGAGATTGCGCTTCTGATCCTCTCCAATCTCTGTGCACCCCTTCCCACCCCAACCCACCCCACACTCCCCCCCCCCAGAGCGTTCACTTCCAGACAGTCTTCGCGGCAGCTCGTTTAATTGGCTGGTTTGACTCCGAAAAGACCAGGGTGGAGCACGCGGGGTTTGGTGTTGTGCTGGGTGAAGACAAGTAAGTGCTGAAGCTTATCGATTCTTATAAATTACGTTTGGACGTTACAAGTTTTCCTTCAGCCTTTATCGCCAACCTGTTTAGAAATTATTTTCTCTTCCTTCTTAATGATCAGTGTCATTGACTGCTGTTGGTAGCAGCTTGCCCCGAGGTACGTGTCTGCTCAAAAGCAAAACCGTTTATTTTTAATGCCTCACTAGATAAAACATTGTCCATAAAAGGGTCTTAACAAGGATTGATCAGTATTTTAATTTGGTAGTAACATTTCTCTGCTTTCCTCTGTATGTATGAGAGAGAGAGAGAGAGAGAGAGCAGGCATCTGATCTCGCAGCCAGGGGCACCAGCAGTGTTCCTATGAGAAAACAAATCAATGACTCAATAACAACACGCTTGTCCTATTGATAAAAAAAAAGGATAGATTGAGAGCAATGATATTCATAAATCACCTGAGCCGTGTGCTCAATGAGATTAATAACAATCCCTAATCTGGTACGGCGCCTTTCATGTCAAACGGACGTCTCGGCTCTTGACAGCATGTACTACAAAGTGAAGCGAATGTATGTTGTGGGGCCACCTTGTTTAGTCACTGTTCCCAGTTGCATTTTCTCTGTTTAACTTGTCGTCGGGGGATCAGAAAGGAAAACGTACAAAGTGTTGGGATTTTACGTTCGCAGAAAGAAATTCAAAACCAGATCAGGAGAAACTGTGCGACTGATTGACTTGCTGAACGAAGGCCTGAAGCGATCAATGGATAAACTAGTGGAGAAGAAGAGAGATAAGGTAAGCCGGAGGCTCCTGCTGCCTCTTACTCCTTCGACACTTTCATCTTCATTTGCAACAAGGTGACCTTGAGAAAGACACTGAATTCTCCTTTCAGGTTTTGACACCAGCCGAGCTGAAGGCAGCACAGGAGGCCGTTGCATTTGGCTGCATTAAGTACGCCGACCTCTCCCACAACAGGACCAACGATTACGTCTTTTGTTTTGATAAGATGTTGGATGACAGAGGAAACACGGCAGCCTATTTGTTATACGCCTTTACTAGAATCAGGTGAGGCAGCGTGATGGGCACGCATTAGTTTCCTCTGGGACCGTCCCCAAGCGGTGGCTGTTCATGTGTAAGTGTTGGCCCACCACGTCGGTCAAGCCAGAACTCTCCCCACACGTGGGTCCAACCAGTAGAGGGACCAGGAACAAAACAACATGCCTGGTTTTCCCCTCTCTAACCTGGGGAAGGCCACGGTTACGTGCTCTCACCTGCAATCCTGGATTTATTGTGTAATGGTCTGACAGGAGGTGCAGTGCTATTGTCTGACCTGAATGTAAAGTGACTGTCTTACTTCTCAGGTCCATAACACGTACGGCAAACATCTCGCCGACGACTCTGCAGAAAGCTGCCGCAGAAACGACCATCCTGCTCGATCACGAGAAGGAATGGAAGCTGGGGAAATGCATTCTCCGATTCCCTGAAGTCCTGCAGAAAATCCTGGAGGACCTGTACCTACATTCCCTCTGCGACTATTTGTACGACCTGGCCACAACCTTCACAGAGTTCTACGACAACTGTTATTGTGTCGAGAAGGACAGGCAGACGGGTGAGTGAGTCGGAATGCGCTTCTGAACATTTTCACTGCACGTGTGGTCTCAAAACAGGTGCTATGGCACGGTTTGACATTTGCCAGAAGGGGGCGCTTGCACCTTGTGTTACACTCGGGCTAAAGTAGCTTCTCAGGAATATAAGACTGAGGGAGGCTCCTACTTCGCTTGGTGTGAAACACGTAAAAGAGCCAGTCAGTATGTAAGCAGGATGTGGTGTGGATGGATGTAGCTTGCGGGACATTTTTGTGTGCAATTGGCTTCCGTGTTTTGCCCACAGTCGAGCCCTTTTTACGATGTATTCTGTGAAGCTCGAGATCAAATGTCAGGCTTATTACTGTCTTAAGACCTCTTCTGTGCATTAGTTTGTTGTCTCCGCAGCCGTATCAAAGAGGCACGGTCACGAATTGGATCCCTTTTAAAATTTTGTTTGCAGGGAATTTTGATCACCAGCTATTTTCTTCAGTTCTGTTCATTTCAGCATGTTTTTTCTTAAAATCTTTGTCGGGGTATTGTCCCATAGACACCACAAATGCGCTCTGCTAGTTGCTGTACCGAAGATGATTTTCACTTGGACTGAACTAGGTTTAAGCCCACATCTCAGCAGCGAAAAGAACAGTGTTAAGCGCTAACTACAAATGCGCTGCTAGATTAAAGCAAAGGTATTTCTCTGGCGCAGGTGAGGTGGTGAAGGTGAACATGTGGAGGATGTTGCTGTGCGAAGCCACCGCTGCTGTCATGGAGAAGAGTTTCCACATCCTGGGCCTCAGACACGTTGAGAGGATGTAACGCTGTTCCCGTCTTCTCAAAGCGACCGTCACGATGCACATTTCCTGCTAATATGCCTTTTGTTTCTTGAATAAAATGCTGAAGTGATTTCACACAGGTTGTCTATTAAGCTACATTTATCAGGTTCAACTTCAGACGACTAATGGGGTGGGGGGGGGGGCCTGTTTGTCGGACGCTGCCGTGCGCAATTGGCTACTGCATTTTACCCACAAAATATCCAGTCAATTCACTTTACAGTATAGTTTGTGAAATGCTTTGAGACGTTTCAAAAACATGAGGTGCTATATCAAATGCAAGGACTATTATTATAGTAGTGTGGTTTAGGTTGATCCTGGTAGATGTAGCGTCTAAGGGGAATGTACTGTCTGGTTGATAAATCCAGAAAATTGATGGACATTTCTGATGTAGTTATGTAAATATATTTACTGCATTTTCAAATAACAAAAATACAAAACATATTGATGCCTCATAAATAGATTATATTGTAAAGAAAATATAACTTATTTACAAATCTTTAAAAAGGCAGGGTTCTTAGTTTCGAGAATACAGCAGCTGCATCTTAACAGTTCAATAACCACGAACTGAAGTCATCTTATTCTTAAGGAAGTGATAGAATGCATTTCTAAATACCTAATGCTAATCGAATGCAAGAAAGTCAATTAACTGCCACACCGGGGCTGGTGTAAACCAGACGATCGTATTCCTGACCGACACTTCATTGAGTATGTGATTCAGTTGTTTCAAGCTAAATGCATGTTTTTTCCCCCCTCACTGGATCGTGATGGCATATTCTATGTAATTAGCAGCAGCACTGCAAACACAGGCAATGTGGAGTGATGATAATCAGGGAATGAACACTCATCAAAATCAACACCCAGACAGTGTTAGCCACAGGACAGATGTAGCCCAGGTCACAGCTGGTGCTCTGATAAAGTGGTTCTTGTGCTTTTAGCTGGAAGTTCAATCTTAAGTGGGGAGATGAGAGAAGGTTTGGAAACTACAGCTCTCCTACTTTGGAGCAGATTTTAATCTGCAGTGGTTTGTAATGGCACCACAGGCTCATGCTGATCTCTCGCTGGTACAAATGATGTGCCTCAGCAAGTCTGAACAATAGTGAGGGCAGAATCCAGTTCAGTTCCTCCCGAGTCCTCAACTCCTGTGCAGTGGACTGTTGGAACGGCACTGATATGTGACCTGTGGGAGCCTGACCACATCTCACAGCCCGAAATAGTGAGTGCGATGGATGGGGAAAGGCTGCCACAGAGAAGGAAATCTTAACCTCTGAAAATACAGTGCTTAGCCAATGGGCACATTGAGGCAGGGTTAAATAAAAATAGTTCCTCAGCCCTCAATACTGAACATCTACCAGTGGGTTTGGGCTTGTACCCACTGAGAAACATTTCCCCAACATATAAAAACTAATGAATTAAGATGACAAGAATTCTTTGAGACATTTTGACTAAATGCAGTCAAATAGATCCTTTTTAAGAAAAAACACACTTGTCAACTTGCTTACCATCCTCCACACATACCCAACGAACTGTACCCTGCAACCGCCTCCCTAACAAACTGTGTGAAAGAGTTCCGCTTTGCAAACCCTAAAAAGGAGGGGTTACGTTAAGTTACAAGGCACAAACACGTTAAAAAGTACGGGCATAACATTAATACCACCAGAGTGAAAATCCATCTGGGTCTTTGTTTACCAGCGTTTTATAGTGTTGAGAATTTGCCAAATTGTTGACTTCAGTCTCAACGTTGAAGCCAGTTTCTTGGTTACAGAAAGTCAGCTTCAAAATGAACGCTATATAAGAGTGCCAAAAAGCTAGACACTCTCAAATAATACATTTGTAGAGTAAATCTAGGCCCAGGTGGAATTTTGCCTTCATGGTTTGCCAACATCTCATGGTGCGCTGCTCCTCTTTCTGTCACGGTATTAATGTACTGAACACAGATTAAATTAAAATTAATAAAAATTGAATAAAAAGATAGGTTTTCAAGATGTAAAATAAACATTTTGCTGGCTCACCAATTAGCAATATTTTTCAAAAAATACAAATATACAACTTTCTAAAAAAAGAACCGTCTCAATACACCCGGAATTGGACCATCGACTTGGACAACTTGCCAGCCAGAGAACAGCAAAGAAAGCAAAAACACGGAAAGAAATCTCCACTCGTGGCTTGGAGGAACTTAGAGATGCGATTTTCTACAACGACACGTTTCTCAATACAAAGCTTCGCACAAGTCTTAGAATTCCCTTTCAGAAAGAAAGACTTCTTAAAAGAACACCCTCCTCCCCCACACGGACACTTATTAGAACACTTAAAGCCTGGATGGCACACTCCTCCATCATGAACCCTATTTACATAACTGCTTCAGAGACTTTCTGTTTAGGTTGACTCCATTCCCGAATAATTCAGGGTTCAGATTGTTGACTGGTAGCAAATAAGTCATGTGGGTTTAGTATTGCTCTCGCCCCATCAGAATTAGACGCAGACGAGACTCCTCATCCTTCCTCCTGCAGTCAATGTTACATTCGCTGAATGAAAAGGATTTCTGCTTTGTACACATTTGTTGGTCAGTCAGAATGCTCTCGTCACAGCTCGTCAGTGTCACATAATGTCCCGAGCTGACGAGACGTTTTCAAATTTTTGTTTCACGTATTTTACAGTCTGAAGCAGCGACAGAGTCTCTTATCTGGAGCAGTTTGGCTGCGCATCGATAGCCGAATACTCTGTTGTACCATTCGGGTGTCCGTCCTCTGCAAGAAGTCAGGAAAGGAAAGTTAAAATAAAGTTTGCTCCACGTGATGCTTTCATTTTTCTTTCAAAATATCAGCCCCAGAAACGCTGCACGTTATTAGGAACAGAGGGAAAGGGAGGGTCGGTTAAAAATGTTACACAAAATGATCAAGCTGTCAAATGATTTACGCCTCAAGAGGCTATTGAAACGGAAAGCAATTGACTTGTTTAAAAAAAAATGTTCAAATGCGAAGGAGAAAGGAGTAGGGAAATGGGCAATAAGGTAGAGATCGCTCCAGTGGGGAGGAAGTATTGTACTCAAGTCTGAAATTACTATGAATGTAGATCGTAATGTGCTTTGTGAAAGAGCTGTGAAACATGGTTACAAGGCGATCTAGGGCGGGAGTTAAATATTCCAGGGTTCTCAGTTTACAGGAAAGATAGGCACTGTGGGAAAAGAGGTGGGAAGGGGGTGGCCCCCAAACAGCGATCACAATATAGTATCAATCGAGAAATCAGTGGAGCGTGTAGGAAAGGTAAAGCGATAATAGGGGACGATTTCAATCTCCACATAGATTGGGAAAACCGAATCGGCAAAAGTAGGTCAGAAGAAGAGTTCATTGAGTGTACGAGAGATAACTTTCTGGAGCAACATGCTGAGGAACCGGCCGGGGGACAGGCCATCCTAGACCTTGTTTTGTGTAACGAAACAGGGCTCGTTGGCAGTGTAGGTATTAAGAATCCTCTCGGGCAGAGTGATCACAATACGATTGAATTCTGCATTAAGTTAGAGATGGATATAGTTAAATCCGAGGCAAGAATTCCGAACTTAAATAGGGCTAATTTTGTAGGTATGAGGAAAGATTTAGGTAAAATAGACCGGAGAATAAGATTAAGAGGCAAAAATGTCGACCAACCGTGGCAGATATTTAAGGATGTAGTGCAAAATTCTCTGGTCACATATTTCCTTGTGGAATAAGAGTACCACAGGGAAAGCAATTCATCCGTGGCTAACTGGAGCAGTTAGGGAAAGCATCAAATTAAAAGAAAAAGCTTATAAAACTGCCAAGAAAAGCAGCAAAATCTGAAGATTGGGAGAGTTTTAGAAACCAGCAAAAAACTAAAAAACTCACTAAGAGCGAGAAAAAGGAGTATGAGGGTCAGTTCGCTGGGAACATTAAGTCTGATTGTAAAAGTTTTTACAAATATATTAAAAGGAATAGGCTGGTGAGGGTAAATGTAGGTCCCACTTCAGTCAGAGACGGGAGAAGCTGTGATGGGGGATAAGGACATGGCAGAGACCCTAAATGGGTACTTTGCATCTGTCTTCACCCGAAAAGACACAACAAGTCCACCAACAATAGAGATGCACCAAAGGGATAAGGACAGGGAGCAACTTCGGGAAATTTTAGAGTAGATAGTGGGAGATTGTTTCCCCCGGTTGGAGAAACTAAAACCAGGGGTCACAACTTTAAAATCAGAGGCAGCCCTTTCGCACTGAGTTGAGGAAAAATTTCTTCACTCAAAGGGCGGTGAATATATGGAACTCACTACCCCAAAGGGCTGTTGACGCTCAGTCTTTGAACATATTCAAGACTGAGACAGATTTATTATTGCAAAAGGTATTAAGGGATATGGGGATAAGGCAGCGTCAGGTTATTAGCTGGAGTTAGATTAGAAGATCAGCGGTGGGGCAGGTTCGAAGGGCCGAATGGCCTACTCCTGCTCCTACATGTTATGTTATGATGTTTTGGTCCCATTAATAATAATCCTTGCATTTGATACAGCGCCTTATGGCCTCACCGAGACATCTCAAAGCGCTTCTCAGAACGTAACAGTCCAACTTAAATCAAATTCACGTGATATTTGAAACTGCAACAGGCACAGTTGCGGTCTTGCTAGGAGGAAGCAAGTTTGCTAGGAGTTCTTCCCAGAAAAGAAACCCATCACCAAATAATAAGTCTCCAAACCAACCTACTGAGTTTTCACAGATCTTGCGACACATTTAGAGGAACAGTAGAGGGCAGTTGCCTCACAGCCTGACAGCTCCAGCTTAAAAAAATTCATTAGTTTGGCTGCCATTCTTTGAGCCCTTTCCTCAATTCCTTCTGGTATGTATTTTTTTCTATTTACCTGGTGTCTATTTGACAGATGTGCAAGAGCCTGGATTTTACTAAGCCGGTTGATTCTATTAGATATTGGGATGTAATCACATCCCCTCGTACTCCGAGTGAAGGAGCTTCTGTGTCATTCACAGAGGTGGCAGCTAACACACACATTCGCGATTGAGGATCTGACAGCCAAGTCCTGAGGAAAGAGCAGGAAACATTGAGTAACTAGTTACTTCACCTCTAAAGCAGCACACATTAAATCACTTGCGCAGAAGTTTCACCTTCGTCAAAAAACCCTTTGCACATTTCACCAAGGAGTACCCAGGAAGATGCAACAAATTTAAACGGAGATTATTAGGATCGTCCCGACGTGAAATGTGCAGGATAGACATGAATTTGTTTTGTTATTAACCTGCTCAAAACGTCTACACTCGGGAAAGTAATAGTCGTGGATGCTGGTAACAATAATAATTCTTTGCACTTGATATAGCGCCTTATCACGTTATAATAATAATAATAATAATCCTTGCATTTGATATAGCGCTTTTCACATCGGGAGGACGTCCCAAAGCGCTTCACAGAACACACTGCAAAGTGAATTGACTGTATATTTGTGGGAGAAACGAGGCAGCCAATTGCGTACAGCAGCGTCCCCACAAACAGTCGTGGATTGAGTGACCAAATCATCATCATTATTATTATTATTATTATAATCGAATCCGACATCTTTTTAAGACCATAAGTCAAACAATAGCTCGTTTCACAGAGTGGCACCACTTAGTTTAGTTTTTAACCCCAAACTATGTGACCAAACAATGGATGGGAATGAAGGTCTTTCAGGATGAATTGCATGGTTCAAATTCATTTTCGAATTGAAATACTTGGCACGCTAAAAATAATTTCTTCTCCTTATTCCTCCCCTTCCCTTTTTGTTCTCCCATTGCCCACAACCAAGCACCATTCACTATGGAGAGAGAGAGCGAGCGAGCGTGGGCGAATAGCTCACTGCCCTCTAGCTGCCCAGACCATGGTGAGAGCCACGGTTGTGGAATGTAAGCCATCAAGTGCCGCGCTCTACTCAACTCTACGTCATGAACTTAGGAACCAAGAGGGAAGTATTTCTGGGTGAATGCAACAGGACAACAAATGCATCGTTCAACAAAGTTGGTGGGGTCGGGGTGAAGTTGCAATAGGACAATTACATGACTGAATGCAGTTGGGTGGAGTGGGAGGGAGTGGGAGGGAGTTGCTCAAAAGGAGTGAGTGATTCCGAGAATCCCTTTAAAAACTTCCCAGAGGAGGTAATGGCTTGATGTTTTATTCGCATCGCAGAGGAGCAAGCGTGCGTTATGCTGCTCCCTCTGGCTGACGGCGCTTTGAGCCGGAGAATTACAGAAGGTTATTGATCCGAGTCACAGCGGTTTCACCACTGGTCGCTGCTGAGGGGACGCTGGCTCAGGTGGTAGCGATTAAAATGACTTTAGTCTGATCCTATAAACAGATTAGGTATGTAAATACTACGAGAGGCACCAGTTGTGCATGTGCAAACCACCACATGGCAGAGTTAGAGAAAGCGTTCCTATCCACGACTAATGGCCAAGTCGCTGTGGGGACTAATGGGATTACTAAGTCGGTCAGGATAAAGATCCATCCCGTTTCTCTTACCTTAGAACCACATATTCCCGGGCCGGGTGTGGGGCTGTGCTGCCAATGGCGTAGTGATAGATCTCGGTTTCATCGTCCAAAGTTTCGATGGTCTTTGACTGAAGGAGGTCTTTTTCCCAAAGGTGATGCTCCTTAAGCAAATGCTTGAGGATTTCCTCCGCTGGCACGTCCACTTCGACGCCGACTTTCCACAAGCGTAAGGGATGCCCATCATCAACCTGGAGCCAGGAATCAAAGCAAGTCCATCAGATTTTACAAGACCCATCAGTGCTAAGTAATTCCACTAAAACCTCAGGTTCGTCAAAGTGCGTTAGTATAACAAGGTCACTTGAGAAAAATCAGGCACAGTGTTAGGTTCCTTGGCAGACGAGTTACCTTCTTATAGGCGATCTCCACATGGTCTACATTGGAGCAGGTGACCCAGCCTTTGAATTTCTCCTTTGCCTCCTTGACCAGGTTCTGCATGGAGCTCTCGAGGGCTCTCTTGACATTGACGTACTTCTCGTTGCTGACGAGGCAGCCACTCGATTCAGACTGGAACTCCTGCTGCGCGAGGCAAGAGTTTCGGGCCTGCCGAGCCCAGTCCTCAGGAACCTGGAAGAGGAGACGTGGGTCATTGGCCATTGCGCTCGAGCGCGCGCACACGTGCACACCACACCCGCGCAAAAGTCAATCGCAAGGAACATGGGAGGACGGAAAGCAACAGCAAGGGATGGAAGAGCAACACATGACTTAACTGGACCAATTTCTAAACAAACTTCAGATACAATACAGAAGAACCCCAGAAAAAAAAAATCAGCGCAGAAAAAGGCCTTTTGGCCCAGTATGTTTATACCACTGCCTTTTTTTTGTTACATCAACTGTGTTAACCCCACTCAACCCCCCATCCCACCCTATATCCCGTAATATTTATTTTTCCTTCTCAGGTGCTGATCCATTAATCCACAGGAAGGGGCCAATTTGTTTCGTCGCTGCTGGTGCTAGCCTTGACCTTGCACACTTTGTTTCCATTTAATGTATTTGCTCGTCAAATTTCATAATAGTTGCATTGGCAGTCGCTGATTCTGAAGACTATGTAGCCATTTGGGCTTTAGTCAAAGAAATCTTCACCTGCAAACGTATAGTCACTACACTTCACAGTAAGACGCGGAGAAGCACTCGGAGAGTCTCAATGATATGAAGAACTCATACTCACTATGGCAAGTAAACCCAGAAGGGGAGGGTTATCTATTTGTGAAAATCGCCTGCCATTAGGATTTCCAAGCTGCTAATTGCGTTGGGAGCCATTCCAGAAACAACAAAAACACTGGAGGAGGTTGTTTTCATTGCAAAATTCCCTGCCAGACTGAATGTCTAGCAAAATCATATACATGGATGGAAATGCTTTAGTATAAGTGGGGCACTTTTGGTCATATATGGACAGAAAAATGAACTACACACTGGATAACTCATGTTATATCAACAGGATGAGATTGAACTGTGATTCAACCGTCAGAGGAAACATGAACCCATTGAGAACAGGAAGCAAAGTTACTATTAGAAAGCCCTAGTGGGGGGTGGGGGGGGGGGGGGGGGGAGGTGGAAAGAGCTGATGTAATTAGGAGGTAGAGATCCTCTAACTACATTAGAATCATCTTTCACTGGGGAACAGGTTGGATGTGACAGAAAGACTAGTAAGTCTTCAGTGCTCCCAAACCCTGCTGCACGCAAACCACACTGTAGAAGCCGTTGACCTGGATTTCAGTTTGCATTAAGTGGGCTTCATTATTTGTTAAACAATAAACACTTCAAAATTATGTTATATTGCATGAATGAATAAATGAATGAATGAATATGAGTGAGTGAGTGAGTGAGTGAGTAGTTTGATTTCAATTAAAAAAAAATCAGCTTTCAACAATTCTGCCAAATCGATCAGACAATGAGGAAGCTTGGCTCAGTCGGTAGCACTCTCGCCTCCAAGTCAGAAGTTTGTGGGTTCAAGCCCCACGTTGAGACTTGCAACCCATGTAGTCTATGTGGACACTCTAATACAGTGCTGGGCGTGTGTGCTGCGTTGTTGGAGGTGACATCTTTTGGAGGAGATGTGAAACCTGTCTGTACAGGTGGACGTCAATGGTTGTTTGTGGGACATTGCTGGTCGCAAATTGGCTGCCACGTTCAACGGCAACACGGAAAATTTGCCCCACTTTACAGTGGATTCTTGTGAAGTACTTTGAGACGTCACAGTGTGATGAGGCACTGCATTACGACACGAACGATGCTTAAGAATCGCACTGGAAAGGCAAGGGTTTAGCTCGGTTACCTGGAAGAGGTTGGTGCACTCTGCAATCATGTGAGCCAGGCCTTGAGTAGCAGCCAGATTTTCACTCAGGTCTCTCTGGTCAGGCTTCCCCAGGTTGTACTTCCTTTGGCCCATCCTGCAGAGAAACGAGACGCTAATGAAAAGCTGTGCCCGAGTTGCATTACAGGAGATATTCCAGGAACACTATCTGACAGCATTCCTCTAGCCCAGCAGAGCACATTGGCTATCGGGAGCCGATAAGATGCTTGCCTGAAATGACTTGACTTTGAAGTTTCTAAAGCCAAGCTCGGGAAATAAAAGGGAACCTTTATCCTCAATTAGGAGTTCAAAGCAACCCTTTCTCCAGGGAGATAAAGCACCATTCTCTCTCCCCTCTTGGTGGCTGTACACAACAGTACGCATTACTGAACGGAGACATTAGAGATGTGTTCTCTCAGCGCCCCTGCAATCCAATGCTTATAGTCTACCGCGTGCTTCTGAAAATTGCGTCGCTCTAATCTTGGGCCGACTGAGACCGTGCGACTAGCTGTGTGCCACGACTTCAGCGGGAGATAAATCAATGGATTTAAAACAGCTCGAACGTGGTTTATAAATAGAAAGTGTAAAACTTTCAGAGTGACAGAGCATCCAGACGGGTCTAGTGGCCACACTTCAATGATACTCGACCCATCACCCGGGGCTAAGGTCACAACTTGAATTCCCATCGGTCGCATAAAACACGGCATCTTTCATTGCCAGAAATGACGTGTTTTTCAACCACATGTGGCAGTGAATTGGTTCATAATAGTAATCCTTGAATTTGGTAGCGGGGGGGAGAACAGCGTGCTAATACACACATTTGGGTGGGTGTAGAATTCAGAGCTAAATCTCTTGATGTCTTTGCCCGCTTGCGCACAGCAATGTGTCACTCGTGTGGTCTGAAAACCCACCTGGAGCCAGTGCCCTCCCTTCTCAGAGTGTTGAGGTGAAAGAGCGATGGTGCCAGGCACACGGCCAGGTTGGTGGGAGTCATTTGGTTCTCGTCGACCAAAGCCACTACATCCCCGAGGAAGAAGAGGAGAGTCTGCAGAACCTCGCGATTCTCGTCGGGGAGGAGCAAGATGGCCGCCTGCACGGCAGAAAGCTGCTGATCCTTGGGCAGATCTGTAGAAAAACGGGGGGGTGGGTGGGGGGGGAGAGACACAACATAAATATTATCATCTCTGCAAATGGTGGCGCTTAACACTCCTTCCCTCACGAGCCCGCTGATCAAACAGGCCTTAAAAAGCAAGGCGACTGGTCAGCCTGGAAAGGAACTTACATTGGTAGATGTGAAGGAATGACTCGCAAAGCTTGGTGGTCAACAAGGGTTCAGGCAGGTCTCGGAAGTACTGCTTCACCATATCTGCCACGTCGAACGCCGATTGGCCCTCGTAGCTGACGCTGTCCGGAAAGCTTTCGTTCATTTCTCTCAGGGCTTGGATCCGAGATTTTACCCCAGATTTTCGGAATAGCCCAACCTAGTTGGCAACGAATAATTCGAGAGCAAAAAAAATAATATTACACACAGTTGGCTGGGGCTGCCCATCAGATCTTTTGTGCCACTTATACAAATCAGCTGCTACTAACTGCAACGGATTCAAGGAACAACACGAATCTAAACTTCGGAAAACTCAAGAGGCTTCATCTGGCTTTTTAACCGTAAATGTTACAAATCTACTTGTCGGAAACTACATCAAACGAGGCAGGTGGGAAGGGAAGGAGAACTGGGCGTGAGGTGAAGGAATAGGTTTGCGCAACAAGGTTTGAATGTTTGCCCAGAAATAAGACACCGATTTGCCAATTCAGAGGGTCCCCAGAGTTGGTTGGAGTTAGGACTTGGTGGGGCGGGGGGGGAAATTCAGAGTTTGGGGTGCAGCTTGCTATGGATGGGGTGAAGTTACTTCTGGACCAGGCTAGAAGTGATCTGAAAAGCTTTTGACACAGCCGCTTAGTTGTCCAACTAACGTAACGCAAGAGCATAAGAATTTCTACACGAGGGAAGGCCGAGCTCCATCCAGTTCGCCTTCCACTCTCCTGGCAGTGGCTCGCACGTCATGTCATGTGTGTTCGCACACATACACACAGATATTATTAACAACAGCAACTTGCATTTTGCAATATGCCCAGCTTCGGAGCATGGATATTCACCCAAAGCACGTGAACCAACCTGATCGAGACAGTGGCTCCTGAGGAAATGCAAGGCCTGTAAGATACTCTTGGGGAGAGGGTGTCCTGTTCGCTGTACGTTCAGCAGCAGTGGCAAACCAAACACAACCCGGTCCTTGTAATCAGGAGCCTTTATCTTCCTGATGAACTTGGGAACCGTCCTGAAAGAGAAGCAAAGTCAACCACTGAAGCAGAACACTTTGCGATCAACAGTGTGGATTGAAAACACATGTTGCGTTAGGAACGGGCAATTATTATCAGGGCCCCCTACGTGAGAGGGAACCGGGGCCCAACGTTTCATGAATGAACAACAACAACAACAACAACAAGAAATTCTATTTGTATTGTGCCTTTCATGTCAATCTCAAAAAGGCTCTTCGAAGAAAAACACCCTTGCATTCGTTATTGTGCCTTACAGGCCAGAAGAAAGTCTCTAAGGGCTTTGCGGGATTTACTGTAAAGTGTATAATAATATTATTATTTTATTGAAGTGTAGTGACTGTGCATTTTGGAAGCAAACCTCTACAAGGCAAGAAAACAAACCCTAAGTGACTATTCTACTGTATAAACATGTCAGCTTATCAGCAGCATAGAGCGTTGGATCTCCAGTATTACAGTAGAACGATAAGAACTGAGCCTTAAGCCTATGAGCAGCACAATTACTGAGATTCCAAAAGTTTATTTTAATGATTCTAAGTTACAATACTCGGTCCTTGGTTACCCAACCCAGCGAGTGAATAATTGTGAACTGATTGGAAACTGGCACTGGGTAATGCAAACAAGCAAAAGCAATGAGAAAAATGTAATCTTCAGTCAGATGGCAAGGAACGATTTTTTGGGGGAAAAACAACCCCTTAATACTGGAGAAAAAACAGCTCAATCTGTGAGGTCTTGAGGCACAACGTAAAAGCGTTTGACTTCAAAAGGAAAGCAGACTCTTGCAATCTTTGCATTTTTTTAAAAAAAGACATATTGGGGTCAGTTTCATCTCAATGAGAGCAAACGGTATGGAGGAAGGAAAACGAGTGACCAACACTCATTTAATTGAGGGTTACAGAGAACATAATAATGCCTTACCACGTCGTTGAGACGTCTGAAAGCGACTCATAGAATATACTGTAAAGTGAATTAACTGGATATTTTGTGGGCGAAACTCGGCAGCCAATTGCGCGCAGCAGCGTCCCCACAAACAGTCGTGGATTGAAGTGACCAAATTACTTATTTATTTTTTGAAGGGATTATTACTCCCCGGAAAGCAATCGACTAACAACCGAGTCCCTACTTACTGCACGTTAAACAGAGGAGTGTAGGGGTAAAGGAAACTCAGCCTATGGTGTTGTCTTGCCTGAATCGAACACACGTCCTCTCGCTTGTGAGGCGAGTGCTCTAACCACTAGGAAACAGGACTCCACATGATTAAAATCACTCCCCTTTCAGCTGCAATCGTGTGGATGTCAGTGGAACAAAGATTAAACGACTTGGCTTATTATTCGTTCGTAACCCTCCAAATTGTCATCATCTGGTTTATATATTCGCGATCGCACATGCTCGCTCGCACACACACATGCACACACACACAGTACAAGAGCTTACCAGTTCCAGCCTTGCTTGCTGGAGGGTGAGTATTTGTCCATCAGCGCAGTGAGCTTCAGCAGGGCCAGCTTCTGTAAGAGGTTGAGCTGAGCAGCAGACTGACCGTCAATCTGCAAGCGTAGTTTCTGCGTGGTTATGTTCTGCTCAATGGGCCTGCAACATAAACCACGGGCATCAAATCAAGCTGTCCGGTTCCTGTCATCTAACACTTTCACTTACATTTCTGCCCTGATGAAGGCAAGTGGCCAATAAGAGGATTGAATTCTTATTAATAATCCTTGCATTTGATGTAGTGACCGCATCGCGTCTTTCAGACGTCTTCAAGCGCTTCACAGAATATACTGTAAAGTGAATCGACTACATCTTGGGGACGAAACGCGGCAACTTCATTTCACTTAGGATCTTTGCAAACACCAGAGAGCATTGATCTTCATCTACCAATATCCTCTGGATTCAGACTCTCAGTCCTAAAGGTGAAACGAAAGAGATCCCAACCACTATAAATCACCCAATCCTCTCTAAATCCCAGTCCGCAATTCTGTGGAGAAGCAATTTATGAAATTAATCTGTTTGGGGATTTAGGGAGGAAAGACTTAGGCGGATTATCGAAAGGTTAGGTCGGGAAAGAAATCTCTTCTCAAGTGAGGTGGAATAAGACATGAACAGATTGTGGTCCATCTGCCAATGAGATGTTCATCTATTCCATAGTTGAACGCAACAGTAAATTTAAAATAAAGGTCGTAACAATGCGTGACAAAACATTCGACTTGCATTCGTTGGAGAGAAATAGATTGAGGATTTCCAGTCTCGCTCTGAGAAGCTCGCCAGGGAAATGGCTCCACTTTTTCCAGACTAAACTGCTACTTTGTGGAATATATCGTTCATCCCTGAGAGCTCTGTTGGATCACAGTAATCCCAGTTTGCATTGCTTACTGCAGTGCTGTTTCCCTGGCCACTTGCTACAAGAATATAGAAAGGTAAACGCAGGTAAACACACGCAAGAGTGGAACGAGAATCCTTTCTTGCAAAACGTAGGAATACATATTAAAAATTCACGTGCAAAAAAAGGTGTCCATCCATTTAGTTTACAGTGGAAGGTAACCCATCACAGTAAACGTCACACAAGACAAGAGATGCAGATGAACAAACTGGTTCACAAACTACGCAGCGGGAAGAACAGTACAATTACCTATTCGCGTGTGTTAATGAGGAGCCAACACCAGAATCTCTCTCGTAATGGACGAGCGCCGGGTGCAAAGACTTTTCAGCGTTGTCCAAGTCGTGAGCTGGTGCCCTCTCCTCGAGGTGTTTCTCAATCTGCAGGTGGATTTCCTTGGGAGAGGAAGGGTAAGGGGACGTGGAGTCATTTGCAGAGTCTGACTCGCCTTCGTCAGAGAACTTCTCTGTCCATTTATTGACCAGCCTCTGGAGTCCATTCACGTGCTCCATGACATCGTCCAGCTCCTCGAACACCTCGTCGTCCCCGTTGTTGAGGTGAGCTTCCGCCCCGGGAACGTTGTCGTAAACGCTCATCCGATTGTCCGGCAAGCCGGGGTGTCCCTGCTCCGCGTCGAACTCCTGGACGTTGCTCGCTCTGCTTTGCCTCCCGAACTTGCCCCTCCGGTAACCGTGGAAGCTCCCGGTCCTCCAGTTCACCGTGTTGTCGATGGGCGACAGAATCCGATGGTAAAGTGCTTTAGGGAAGGTGCCAGGTTTGTGGCCCTGCGGGATCTGGAAGATCAGACGCTCGTGCTGGCCTTGCTCGAGGCCGTCGCTCTGTTGACCGACGCCCCTGAAAGAAGACGGAAGGGTCCCGAATTTCTCCAGGTACATTCCACCTCGCTTCCCGTTGAGGGCCTGGCTTCGCGTTCTCAGGACGGGGCTGGGTGTGCTGACGGTGCTGCTGTTTTCCGACTGGCTGCTGCTGCTGCAGGTCTGGGAGGAGGAGCACAGGAGGGGGTTCTGGGCGAAAACGGCCTGATTGATCTCCCTGATGTCCACGCAGTTCAGATTGCGGAGCTTTTCTTCGGAGAATCCCTCCTGCTGCACCGGGGCGCTGATGACCGGCCGGAGCTTCGGCCGAGCCGACCTCTTTAGGCTGGAGCCTCTCAGCCGAAGCCTTTCCATTTTGTTCAGCAGACTCTTCCCCTTTGGTTTGGTGCATTGCTCGGAGGGTCTGTTATCCACGCAGAAGCTCAAAGGCTCACTGGGGGATGGCGGGCCGCTGAAAGAGGAATCGGGGGAAGCAAGCTTGATCGAGGAACATCTCGACGAGCTCCTGCTTGTCTCGAAGTCCATGACTTGGGATTCGGGGTTTTTGAGTGAGCCCAGGCTGTCGCTACCACCGCCGCTACTGCTGCTGTCGATGGACAACACCTCCTGCTTCTCTCCCAGCTCCGCAAACATGTTCTCATCGCTGTCGATGCTCTTCAAGCGCAGGCTGTTGTCGGGCAGCGGGATACTGGGGCAATCTTCCCGGTGGGAAACCTCCAACGTCTCCAGGCGAGACCATCTTCTGCTCTCTCTCTGAAACGTCCACTTGTTGCTGATGGCGCAAGGCTCTTCGTCCTCAAAGTCATCGCTCTGATGGCCGGGGAGAAAGGGAGACAAGAATTGACACTCAACACCTACAAGGAAAATCCCACCATATTGGGAGTAAATTGTGGTAATTTGGCCACCAGTGAGCAACATAGTTGTAGCAATTCAGTAGCCATATTCTAAAATCTCTTTCCTCTCTCGTCCCCAAAGTGATTTAGTTGGTTCAGGATTTGCAAAAATGTTCTCCTCTTTATTTACTGTCGCCCATACAGAAACCTCCAGATATAACACACAGACGCACACACATTATGCCCTGGATAGAAGAGCCACACATTCAGGCCAGATCTCTACTAGTAGAGACACTCTACATGAAGTACAAGAAATCCGATACACATTTGTCTTCCAATGTTCTCTCCCCTGAAAAGCCTCACTCAAGATTACTCAGACTACTTGGGGGGATCAATGATGGTTAAGTCATGGAATAGGACACGTCAGTGAAATGGATTTTGGGGCGGTTTAATCTCTCGTTGAACGTCCAGGCCACTTAACGCAGTCAGAAACATTTTACAAACAATTTAAGTTTTTTTTAAAAATCATATATTTCAATTAAAATCAGGGTGGGGGAGAAGCATAAGACAAACGTACCTTTCTCCTCTCATGACCAATTTCCAGTCTCATTGCGGAACATTTGTTCAGAGTTTTTAAGCGCCTGAAAAAGAACGTTTGTGAAGGTTACGGAAACGTGACCACATTTCTTTCCATAAAACAGTGCTCAACAAATGGGCTCATTTCGCACAGGTTGGAAAAGAGCTCAACCTCTGTGAAGTACTGTAGCTCAGTGGTTAGAGCACTCGTCTTGCAAGCGAGAGACCTGGGTTCGATTCCCGGCAGGGCGTATAACGTTGGGCAAGTTTCTTTACTCCACACGCTTCTGTTTACCTAGCAGTAAGTAGGAACCCGGTTGTTAGTCAATTGGCAGATCGCTTTTCCTGGGGTAATAGTTACCTNAAAAAAATTGTTCCCTCAATCCATGACTGTTTGAGAGATGCTGCTGTGCGCAATTGGCTGCCGCGTTTCGCCCACAAAGTATACAATCGATTCACTTTACAGTATATTCCATGAAGCACTTTGGGACGTCTCGAAGACGTGATAAGGGGCTATGTCAAATGCAAGGATTGTTATTATGACAAATGGAAAATTGAGCTCACTTTGAGGGGGTGGGGTACAGATCTCACAGCCGTAAATCCTGGGTCCTATCAGGGTTCTGCACTACCGACAGCAGAGGATTGCAAAATGCTGTTATCAATGGTTTGACTCCTCTCCAAGGGAAAGGCTATTGTCACTGAGCTCCAGTTTATGATGCTTGGCTCGATAAGCGCATTGCTGCAACTTGAATTATCTCAGCAGGCATCATCCGTAGAGTCTTAGATAATCCGAGAAATCCAAATAAACCAAGAAGGAACATCCAAATCTGTCTTTACACAAGAGTAATGATCCTTGCAGTTATGGCCTTTGCTCTTGGGTAAGGGTCAAGAGTTTATGAAGGACCTGGCATTGATTGACGGATCTTCTTTTAACAACTGCTGGGTTGAAATTTTACACAGCGCTAATTTCATTAAGAACCTATTTCTAATTGAAAGCTAGTGAGAAGCAATCGGACATTTTGCTGGCCGGCCTTCCCCCCCACACCCGAACCTTACGATTTTGCTGATTGGGATTCAATACTAGAATCACAGGAGAAGAGTGGGACAGTAGCTCAGCTGCCTTGGGTCGTACACATGGTGAATGGAGACTAGATCGTACCTGCAGAGAGACTCGATAGCATCTCGGTCCAAAAACTCGTGATCATTTTTGACAAGCTCAATATCAACAGGAAACTGGGAGTCTGCAGAGGAACGCAGTGGGAGACAGCAATTAGACTTCTGACGCTACCTACATGGAGGTCTAACAGCAGAAATGGGCTTCGGCGTCTTTTTATGCATAATCCAGAGTTACAGCTCATCAGAAACACAGTAATTCCAGAGTGCAATTACTGCAACGTCTGTGGAAGATGCAAAGTGTGTGTGTGTGTGGGGGGGGCGGGGGAAGGCTCTTTCTGCCCCAACCCTCTCTCCACAAATAATTTTGTGGGGCGGGGGAGAGAAGAGTGAGGGAGGATGATTTAAATATGGAGGTGGGGACTTGTCTGCACCTTCTAATATCCAATTAGAAAGTGATGGGCAAAGATCTTGGAGCAAGTCATCTGTGCCGCATTTTGTTAAAATAAGCTAATGGAGACCCTAAGAACTGGATAAAAGGGTGGAAGTCTGCCTACAAAAATACACAGTCACTACACCTTACAGTATATCCATGTTAAATAGAATGGTGGAGGCAGAGTCCATTGTAGGAATCAAGAAGGCAGAGACAGGTATATAAGGGAGAGGGTTTGAAGGGGTAATAGGAATGGGGAGAGGCACTGGGATTGAATTGAATTAATCACAGAGACTAATGGGCCCAATGGCCTCTTTCTGCGCTGTAGATTTCTATCGACAAACTTTTAGTAGTTGAGTTTTGGACAACATTTATTTGAGCACCCAAAAAGTGAATTGCCACTATTATATCTCAAGCCTCATACAAATTCTAACTAGATTGTAGCAAAAGAAATTCATTTACAACCCCCACCCCATCCCTACATAATGGTGTGTGTTGTTTAGTCCAGACAAAACTCAAACTATATTACTGAGTAATCTGAAGGAAATGCCAGAAGATTTTAATCTGACAAACACAGCCAACACAAACAAAGGCAGATACCTTCAAATAGCTGGGCGTATTGTGGGAATCCTGCTGCTCGCAACCATTCGCAGGCGTCCTTTGCTTCAATTTCTGCGGGCAGGGGAGAGAAAGCAAAAAGTTAAGAGACAAAAGTTGACGTTCGTTCCACATCATAGGAATTCACAGCGCAGGAGGAGGCCATTCGGCCCATTGCATCTGCACCAACTCTCAGAGCCAGGTGTTTGTTCAGTTCCCATACTATCCCCAAGTCCCTTCAAGCCTCTGTCTTTCACATACCCGTCTACTACACCATATGCCAACGTGTTATTACACTGAATGGATTTCAGCCACAAAGATGATGACGAAACTCAAACAGAATGCAACAGCAACTTACATTTGGGAGGATGTCTCAAGGGACTGGACAGTTAGGGATTTGGACCCGAGCTGGGAGGTGGGATAAGTCGGGGTAGGATGGTAAACCTTGCTCCCTGTGCATTGAATTCTGCAGGCATGAAGCAGGGTACCATCATATAATTGTCAAGCAGAGACTTGATGGGCCAAATGACTTGCCAAACATTTCCATGCAATGACCCATTAACCGAACAGGCTTTGCAATACAATGTGACCCATTTCAATACCGGATTCCCATTCCTCCCGCTTTCGGTGGGCGACTCCGGTGATGGAAACCAAACAAGTCTCTGGCATTTGGGATCGCTGAATCGTAAAGTTATTTTCAATCTCGTCTCAGTGTACTTTGACCAATTTTCTCGGTGCAATGAGAGCGAGAGTTGCAAACAGCCACGACCCACTCTACTCTTCTAGAAAACAAGTCAAATTAGCACCTTTGTTGTAAGCGAATGTGTGAAGATTTATGCACGAACGACAGATGCTTTTTAAGACTCCCAACCGTCTCCCCCCACTCTCTTTCCCCAAATGACTACTCGTTGCTAGGAACCTCGAAGATTCCCTTCTGAGCCACGTGGAACCACAAGAGCACTCAACTCTAGGCAGCAGATGGCATCTATTTAGTGCATTCTTTTATGCCAATTTAAAGAAAAAATAGCTTGTGTTGAAATATGCAGTGCTCGGCAGAAACAGTTGGGGCTACAATTTTTTTCCGTAAGTACATGATTTAAAGGAGCATTACAATGTAAAGGAGACACTGCAAGTCAGAACAATTTAGACTTCGCAGTCATCTGTGTGCTTGACAAATGTAAATTGTAATTGTCCCACTCGTTCTGAGGTTTACTGCCCGCACAGTCACCTAGCAGCGAAAGCTTGGTCTAAGCCTGTGCTGAACTTGGTAGACCATGTTTAGCACTCATGGTAAGCTCTCCGAGACACTGCCCCGTGGGAAGGGTGTTACATAAATGCAAGTTGTTGTTTTTGTGGTAGATCGAACAGCATCAAGTCATGATCGCGTCAACTGCTCTGTAACAACACGCGCAAGTTAGCCGGCTACGTTAAGGCAAACGTACTGTACTGTGATGGAGTCCCTGCATTACACAAACTACATTCTGGGTATATACACACACAAACATTCTGTAGCACTGGCAACTCGAGAGCCAGAGCATCACGGAGCAACAACCAGAGTGCTTTGCTGTGTTGAGTTAATATTTCCAGCTCAGTATCTGAATTCCAATGAACCACCCAAGATTTCTCCATTGACGCAAGCCCCAGGAAACACTCAAAGCCCAAGGCAGGAGAGGCACCTGGTGTTGAGCAGAGAAAATATCCTCATGGGTTTGCAAACCAAGTGCAGGAAATTCAGTGCCGGTCGAAAAGGATGTTTTTTAAAGCTCCTTGTTTTTTGGACAATCTGTCTCCTCCCAAAACTAATCAGGAAACACAGGAGCCTTTTGAAAACTTGGCAGTGGTGACAGTGCATTGCCTGGAGTACGTGCAGATCTGAATCAGCCCTTATCCAGCATCTCCTGGAGCCTTAGATTGCTTGATTGAGCAGAGTCGAATCCAAAACACAGTAGCTTACCACACACATAAGCATCAGCGAGCTGCCAGACAGTCTCAGTGCAATGACCCCCCTGGCTGTGGACTCTTTACATTTTTACAGAGTATTTCACAGTCACATACAATAGAGTATAGGAGGAGGAGGACAAGGGCACCCAAGTCCCAATTACAATGTACTGACGGCCTCTCCGCCCCCACTCTCTGGAACTCCAGCCCACATCTCCTCTGCCTCGCCCTCTCCCTTGCATCCTTCGAGGCCAGTCCCAAGACCCTGCTCTTCACCCGTGTCTTTGGTCACCCTCCTACCCCCACCCTCCCCGTCCTCCACACCTCCCGATCTCAACCGCCAGCTCGGGTACGGATCCCTGACCGTCCAGCACCTTGGGATGTCCTCCTGACATGAAAGGCGCTGTACAAATACAGCAGGAGTCGGTGGGAATACTCAGCAGGTCAGGCAGCATCTGTGGAGAAAGGAAAGTGAATCAATGTTTCAGGTCTGCGACGTTCTGACGAAGGTTTCGTGGACCTGAAACATTGACTCCTTTCTCCATAGATGCTGCCTGACCTGCTGAGTGTCCCCAGCGACTTCTGTTTTTGTTTGCTATACAAATATAGTTTGTTGTTGTTGTTCAACAGGGAACTGGGGTTGGAGCAACAAGAAGCATTTATATAGCGCTTCTCATGCAGGGTAGCGTCCTGGAGTTCTCGACAGTGGCAGAGCACATCACCGAGCCTGGGTAGGTGGGGAGGTGACCATATGATCAGTAAACAGAGCACAGGCCAGAAACCATCAACTCTACCCCTAATCGCAATCCCCAGGGAAGTACAGTATTAATTTCCCCCTCTCCCACACTCCAACACCAGCTAGATCTTTCCATCTCCCCATCAGACATCCTAGTCACTGAATAAATGGCCTCCACGCCTTATAAAAGTGGACAGACATCCTCTCTCGTTGGATGCTCTTACTCTGATGGGTAAGACCATTTTTCTCTCTTAAAAAGATCCTCAAGCTTAGATTTGTGCGACGTTGTGTGTAACTGGGTATTTGCGTTCATTAAAGGTCGACCGAACAGCTACAAACTTCTTCCATTGTAGGTGAAGTATGGTCCTCTGCCTCACCCAGGTTGGATACAACACGGGTCAAATGGTAGAGAATGTTCCTCAACTTTGTGCCTGAACTCCACCCAGAGGACATTTTATGTGGGACTTGTAGCTACAGCCCAGAGAAGTTCATCCTGTCAGTGTTAAAAGGAAACGGAAACTACATAGAATTACATAGATTTATATTGTTTGTGGGACGCTGCTGTGCGTAATTGGCTGCCACATTTCGCCCACAAAATATACAGTCACCACACTTTACAGTATATTCTGTGAAGCGCTTTGAGACGTCTAGAAGATGTGATAAGGCGCTGTATCAAATGCAAGGATTAATGTTATAGAACATCTTACTTTTCACCAGTAATACCAACTCCATGTCCCATCTTAGCTCTGTGCGCAGTTCCGAAACAAGATTACCATAGCATAGAATCGTAGAATTGTACAGCACAGAAGGAGGCCATTCGGCCCATCGTGTCTGTGGCGGCTCTTTGAAAAGAGCTATCCAATTCAATCCCACTCGCCCGCTCTCTCCCCATAGCCCTGCAAACTTGTCCTCCCCAAGTGACACAACCAGTTGATGCATGTAAAATCAACTACATTGGGTTGGCGTATGGGCTTGTGCTCTGAACTCATTCATGGAGAAATTGGAGAGAGAGAGAAAAATAATCAAACCAGACATAGGGAAATACACGCATTAAAAAAAAACCTCCAATGTCATGAAAACCAGCCCAAATTGTTCTTGATCAATAATTCTTCTCGTTAGGATTTATATTCCCCTCACTGTAATGAAGAATTTTCTGCGATGCAAGAAAAGAACTTGTTGGACGTCAAGAGAGATTTGACTGGAGCTCAGTCAGAACACTCATTAGGAGTGGTGATGTTTACAAAGCGTAAAGCATTTTCTGGTGTTCCAATGTTAAGACGGTTATCAAAATAGATTGAATGCTCAACACTATTAGGAATTTTGAACTCTATTTCTGGAAGATTCAGTTGTTGATTCCTGATTGATTTGGATGAAATGCTCATACTGATTAGCGAATATATATCATATAAAGTATATTTTACCTACAAAATATACAGTCAATTCACTTTAGAGTATATTCTGTGAAGCGCTTTGAGACTTCTCAATGACGGATAAGGCGCTATATCAAATTTACCGATTATTTTAGCATATAAGCAGGTTACATATGATCAAACTTGTCCTCCTTTTCAGACCACCATTATTCCTCCTCAATTTAACAGAACAAAAAACGTTCCAATCCACCGGGTCCCCTAAATCGCAAGCCACATTCCCTGGCCGAAAGATAAGAGCCTTGCTTTTATGCTTCACCTCAACCTGAGTATTAATCGTTAAGCAGTATCTGGAGGGGAATTTATCTTCCCGTTTCCTCACACCCATCCCTCCACAGAACAGAGGAAATTTGCTTAGCTCTCATTTTTCATCATAGCAGGAAGTAGCATGTTTAGCATTCCATGCCACAAACTCATCCTACCATGTAATACTTCTGAACATCAAAATAATGGATTACATCACTTGGCCTGCCATGGGTAAGATACCAATGTCTGGCTCCATCACCAGTTATCACTTGTGAAGAGATCTCATTGAGGAAACAAAATAGTCACAGAATGCTTATCGCAACAAGTTACATTCATTCCTATGGCTCTGCCTATTGCATAACTCACACATGGAGTTTCTATGCTCAAGAATGTTTTTTTTCCCCCCTTTCTCCTTTGAATTACTGATTCACTGCACAATCTGGAACTTTCTGTGCAAAAGTGTGACTCAGGCAGCTGGACAGAACAGTTATCAGTAGTGTTGTAGCGGGGGTTGGGGCAGGACATCAGGCGGACACAAGCACACCCTTTGTTTAATGAGATAACACGGCTGGTTTCTGCCAAGGGCACACAACCCAACATTTCAATCTGCTCTCTCTTTTCTCTTAGCTTCGCTCACACAATGATGATTTGGTGCCTGTCGCTACCTGTATGGGATTGGTGTCCTCTCCTAGCCCAAACTGTGATCGCAAGATATTGTGGGGCAATTG